GAGCCTGACTTTGCTTCTAGCTCTGGCACTTGCCCGAGGCTTTTTTTTTTTTTTATAGCTAAAGGCCACTGGTCATTGCTTCCTCTTGGCCCTTCCCTAGCCATCAGTCTTGCCTGCTGGAAGGGATGCTCTGTTGCCCGAAATTGTTCTCAAGTCCGAGCTGGCTGAAGTCCCTCTGTTCTTTTTCAGTGGCTGACAGATTAAGGGAAAGGAAAAGGCAGCCTGAGAATGTTAAAGCAAGTCAACTCCAAGTTTAGGAGTCATTAAGACTTCAGTGGATTTCCAGAATCTGCCTTTTTCACAAGCACCCGAGTCTGTGCGGGTTTTGATGAATGCTGGACATCCATTATAGAAACACTGTTCTCAGGGATCACCTAGACTGGAATATAGCCCAGGCCATGGGGTAAACACACTTCCAAGCATATAGCTGGATTCAGGCTACAGGGCGTGGTGTACTCCTCCGGCCATTCGGAGCTGCCAAGTATCCTTCAGCACCTCTCAGCTGACACTAAAATTTTTCAAAAGAAGGAGGTTCTAGGTCTCCTCCTAGTGAAATGCGTGCTCCATTCCGTCTTCCAAAAGGAATCCAGGGGCTCTAAGAACAGCAGGGTTCATGCAATGCTTGACTTAGATTTAAGTGGGTTCACTGGCTGTCATTTCTGATTCCAACAACCCAAATAAGACCCAGGGGAAGTCACATGAAACGAACCAGAAAGTGAGCAGAAATGAGCATGACCGGAACGCTGGGAGGAAGCCCTCTCGTGCTGGAAATGGAGGAAACGTTTGTGTTGACCTTGCTTTCCTCTCCAGTGCTGATTAGTTCTAAGTGGTGCTGTTTTTATTTTTGTGTGCAGTGAATATATTTTGCTTTGAGCCTCATCTGGCCCTTGGTTTCCCCACCATGTAAGGCAAAGAAATGAAAGAAATCTTTAAAGGAATATTTTAGTTCTTAAAAAAACAACTGACTGAGAAGAAATACACAGTACGGAAGAAGTGGGACGTGATTGAATCTCTGCTCTGGAGACAAAGATGAGTGGTGACTTGTGGAGCAAATGTGCTGCCATCATGTATTAAAAGTTAATGTATAGAGATTCCCCTGAATGGACCATCCACTACGTGTTGGAAAACTAAACCCTTATTTTTATATTACCCTGTATGGGTCAGGGGCTGCTTTGAACAAAGAATAATGATCATGTCACGTTTCTTCACATCCATTATAGTGTTCAGCATGATGCTGGCCATCTAGTAAGTAGTCAAAAAGTCAGTGTTAATTGATGGGCTTTAAGAAGTAATTTTGATGGAGCGATACCCTCCTGTGATGGCACGTAGTGAAGTGTTTAACAAGATTTGTAAGCAAATGTTTTTCAGAAACCAGTTGCTGACTGTGTTCTCTACGGTGTTCTTTCTGTGAAAGCAGGAGATACCTATTCTGTGATGTGGCCAGCGAAGTGTTAACAGGACAGGTAATAAAATGTTTCTTACAATCTTAAAAAAAAAAAGTAATTATGACGCTTCTAATGTGGGAATGGCTCTCTTCAGGCTACGTCTACTGGATAATGCCCTGCGGATGAGACGACGAAGAGACCTGCAGTGTTTCTTCTGAGTATTGCTGCGCACTTGCAACATCTGTAGTAACTCTCCAGAGATACTGGTCCAATAAGACCCTTCCGAGGCCTCTGCAGGACTGTGCCCGACCACAAGCTGGGCTTCCGAGTCGAAGGATTAAATGAGAGCAGTACGGAAGAGTGTGGAAGAGCGAAGGCTCTGGTCCCTCTCACCTCAGATGGAATCCCAGCTTTACCATTTATTAGCTGTATGGCTTCATACAAACTGCTCAACTGGTCCTCACTGGTAAAATGGGGATCATAATAGAATGGGTCATAGGGTTATGGTTGAGGGTTAAATGAGAGAATGCACTTAGAGCATTTAAGATGGCCTGCCCCATCATACGAGTTCAATGATGTTAGTATGTTAGCATTGGTAAGTAGTGATCAGGGCTGGACTGGCTCACTAACTACAGCCACAGCTTAGACCCCCACAGACACCCCTGGGAGGGGTCCTACCTTGTCTACATCTCCCACCCAAACCACTTCCTACGCCCGAGTTTGTCACTGAATCATTGAGTATAGTGACATCAGATACATAGGCATGAGGACTCATTGCCCTGTTTCTGCTCCAGTCTCATTTCTAACAATTCTGTTCTGTACAGATGTCCTGACCACAGTCTCTCTGAGCAGCCAGACTATCCAGAACCTGGACAAGTAAGGAAAAGAGGGGAGAGGCACGTAGCACAATGTCTGCTCTAGAAATCGCACTTAGATTAGATTAATGCAAATGGGGGTTTTGAATGAGGGAAACAAAATAATTGAGAAACAGGCACATTCCCTTCTGTTCCCCACTAACAGATGTTAAATGCAGCCCTGAGAGAGAGGAGTCAGCTTGCTTCCAAGGGAAGCTGGGTCCTACTTCTGGGGGTAAGGACCAAAGGAAACAGATCAACAGGTTTTGAAGTTTGGCATTACTTAAAAAAAAAAAATTCTAACCTTTCAAAACTTCCGGAGTCAGCAAAAGAGAGCCAGAGAAGTTAGCCACCAGACGGTTTTGGCTGTAGGATTTTTGATCCACCGTCTCCAGGTCTTTTATGGACAATAGCTTTGTAGCCTTCTTCCCTCTGCTGCTGGTCCAAAATCAGCATTATACAGAAAACGCCAGGGGTGAAACATAAATATTTACATATATTTAAAATAACATCTGAATGTATACATACAATGGAATATTATTAAGCCTTAAAAAGGAAGGAAAGTCTGGCATACACTACAAGAAGGACGAACCTTGAAAACATGCTAAGTGAAATAAACCAATCTCAAAAGAACAAATACAATTTTCACTTGTATGAAGTCCTTAGAGTGGTCAGATCTGTAAAGACAGAAAGTAGAATGATGGTTGCCAGGGGCTGGAGGGAGGGGAGAATGAGAAATTGTTGTTTGATGGGTACAGAGTTTCTGTTTGAGAGGTTGGAAAAGTTCTGGAGATGGATAGTGGGTGACGGTTGCGCAACAATGCAAATGTACTTAATGCCGCTGAACGGTACAACTCAAAATGGTTAAAATGGTACATTTTATGCTGTGTGCATTTCACCACAATAAGAAACCGTGTGAAGCATCAAGAAAAATGATGTCCAGGTAGCGGGCAAGGTTTCTGCTCCCCGCTTTGCACGGGCAGCTCTGCTCCAGGTCTATTGTATGATAGTGGCCGGTTTCCAGCCTTGCAGGCAGATGGTACAGCAAATGTGTTTCAGTGGATGTCGCTGGAGAGATGCAGAATCTGCTCTGACCTTCCGGTTTTCCTCGCCAGTTCTGATGCCTGCTCCTCTTGAGGGCTCTGCTAAGACTGTGGAAGCAACGGAAGTGGGACAGGGTGGCTGTAGCACGCGTGTTTTCCTGCATAGCTTCTAGCAGCGGACTTCCTAAGAGAGATGGAGGTTCTTGGAGTCACTGGGTTCCTGCAGCGGGTAACTAAAAGCATTTCTCTCCAATTGCCTAAATAGACAATAGACTCGTCACTTCCCCACGAGTTTTGGAGATTATGAAATCAAACTTCAACTTTACATTTCAGTAGCTTTCAAATCATTTTGATTGCAACCCCGCTGTAAGAAATGCCTTTTACATCAAGATATACTGTGCACATTCGTATTGTTGAATTTATATGACTGAAATGACAGTTTCACCAAATAATTCTTGTCCTTGTCACACGCAAGGCACTGGAATGTTTCCCCTTCTCTCCTCAGTTCTTTTCTACTCCATTGCATTTTTAAAATGCTAATTGTACTCCATTAAATTTGTGCAGGGTCCTCTAATGAGTCTTGATCTGCAGTTGGAAAAATACTGCAATGTATCTGCCTCTCCAGCCATTGGGTTGATGCTAAATAACTTGCCCCGGGGAGCTAACCGCAGGTGAGACTCTCTGCTGCAAGAGGCATCTTCCGGAGGTCAGTTTCTCTTTGGTCTCAGGGAAACAGCCTGATGTGGCAACACAGGAACTGACTGCAAAACAAGTGTGCATGAGCCCCCGGCGACGGGCAAGACTCAGTGGGAGAGGCTTGGATCATATGGGTGTTAGCAGAGCCTACCCTTCTCGGACACCACCACAAAGAATTATCAGATCAAATCTAATTTGGGTGAGCAGGGAAAAGGCAAAAACAGGAAACTCTGTGGAGTCTTGCCAAACGTGTCAGTAGGAGGAAGAGTCCACAAACTGTCCGCCAGCCTTTCAGAGGGAAGTTAAGAGTCAGGTAATGTTGGTGGGCACATATGGTGTCACTTGGATTTTTCAGAGCCTCCAAAACCCAATTACCATCCCGCTTCTGACTGCAGCTTTCTTGCTCTGTTGTCTAGGGATCTGGGAAACAGAATATTGCAAGCTTGTGTCTGTTTTAGGGGGTTTTTTCTGTGCATGTCAGAGACCTCTGAAGGAAGGTAGCCCCACGGAGGGAGGGTATGCTTACTACACACTTAAAGTCCAATCACAGATGAGAGGAATTGCCATTCACTGAGATCATGTAGGAAAGCACAAATAATGTTGTGATCATGAAGTACTGGGTGTCATAAAAACACATCTATTATTTTTGGCAGATTATGCTGAAATGATTCATCTTCCAGGGCTCAGAAACTAAACTAGCAATTTATTTTCCAGAAATGAAACAAAACAATGCCTGTCCATACAGACTCCAGAATACTCCCTAATGCGGTATAGAGGTTTACGAAAGTCATCCAACACGTGTCGCTTGTGGCATCCTCAGACTTCTACTAAAGTCCTCTTCTGTCTCCTCTTTCCACTCCCCTGTGCACAGATGTGCCTGCTAATATTAAGAGGTGGACCCATCTGTGCTGCCTCACACAGGAACTTGGAAAAGAATAAGATTGTGGCTCCCGGAATAGACAATGAAAATGACCACCATCAGAGTCCATAGGTAATATGGGTACCAACCAGTTCAGGTTACCAGCTCTTTTAGTTTCAGTGATGGAATGCTCCAATGGAACAACATTTCATCATCACGTTTTGCAGTTCCCTGGATGCATCAGCAGCATCCGAGGCCACCTGGGGTGTGTGGGAATGGCCTTCGCTTCCCAGCCCACCTCCTCCACGTCACTCCCGCTCCTCCCCGTTTTCTAAATTCCGATAAACAGAGCGTCCTCAGAGTGCCACAGCTCACTGCTCTCTGTTTGCTCCCTGTAGACAGTGTTCCGTGTTTCTACCTAGACTGTAGTTTCCCTCTTTGGCCTTCCCCTCCTTCTCCCCTGGCACATGGCATTGGACTCTGACTGCTTGTTGACTGACCCCACAAAGTCTCTACTTAGTGTACGTTCGCTCAGACAGGGGAACAAGCTGGAGAAGGTGTCTCCCAAACTCCTCCAAAGACAAAGTTCAGCAAGAAGGGTGAAATGTCCATTTCGGATGAGGAATCTGATCCCGTGAAAGAGACTTTGCCAACTTTTCCAAGATAGGGTCTGCAATTAGCAAAATGTGTTGGGTATGACACATTTAGCTCCTAAAAGAGGCAATGCTCACTCACACAGGCTTCAACAGTATGAATATATTGCCTCACATAACACAGTCTGGAGACAGGGCGTGGGATCCAGGCGGGATACGGTTCAGTGCTGCTCAGTAATGCCATTAAGGACAGGGGTTGTTCCAGCCCTTCCATTCTGCCGTCCTCAGCATTGGCGCCATTGGAAAGGTGGTTATTCTCACGGTAACCAGATGGCTGCCCCCGGAGATCAGGCTAGGTGCTCCTCATTCACACCCAGCAGGAGAGAAATGAATGAAAGTAACTTCTGCCCAGAGGCCTCTCCTTTAGTCTGAGTGGGCCAGAGCAGGTCACATGTCCACCCCTGGCTCAGTGACAGTTGCCAGAATGCTGTAGGCTGATTGGCGCAGATCAAGGCTTCTTACAGCAGCACTACTGGTATCTTGGATGGACTGTTCTTTGTTGTCAGGCCACTATGTGCATCGTAAGACATTCAGCAGCATCCTTAGGCTTCATACTTCCCTAGCAGAAGAAGATGAGGGGTGTGTGTGTGTGTATGAGTGTGTGAAGGGTGTGTGAGTGTATGTGTGTATGAGCAGTGTGTGTGAGTGTGTATGTGAGGTGTGTGTGAATGTCCGTGTGAGTGTGTGTGTGTGGAGGGAGGTTGTAGAAAGAAGCTAAGGTCTCTTCCTCACAGTAGGAAGCTGTCTGAGTCAGCTCAGGCTGCCACAGCAAAACACCACGGACTAGCTGGCTTAAGCAGCAGACATTTATTTCTCACAGTTCTGGGGGCTGGAAAGTCCCAGATCAAGGTGGCAGCCAATTTGGTTCCTGGTTGGCTGGAGGACAGTCACCTTGTCACTGTGGTCTCATGTGGCCTGTCCTCTGTGCGTGCTCTGAGAGAGCACTCAAGTGTCTCTTCTGCATCCTGGAAGGGCACAAATCCTATCAGATCAGGCACCACCCTTATGACCTCGTTTAACCTTAATTATTGCATAAAGATCCTATCTCCAAATATAGCCACATAGAGAGCTGGGACTTCAAAAAATAAACTTTAGGGGGAAATGATTCATTGCTTAACAGAAGTCAATAGAGGATATGAAATGATAAAAACAAGAAGTAGCATATTATTTAGAAAAATGGTGGTAAACATGAGTAATAGCTAAGAGAAGAGATTGCCCCAAGGGCAAAAAACAGAGGACTGAGCAAGGGAATAGATGAAGTTGCTGATAATTATTATTATCAGCCTTTAAAACTCAATTCCTGCATTAAGTGTCATTTGACTGAAGTTTGATTGATTAAGGCTGGGAAGGAGGGAAAGCAGGGTGCCTTGTCATTTATCTCCCAAGCTGGGGCACTTCTGAGAACGGAAGGGATCACTGTTAATTACGTGGGGACAAGAGGTGCAGCTGGAACAACCCTGGATAAACTGGCATTTATGACCAGTCTACTTCTGAGGAAACTGAGGTCCGGCTTTGTTAAAAAATGGGGAAGGATTCTTTCAGTGCTCAAGGGGCAGAAAGAAGGCTGCCCTTCTGACATTTTTGGAGTGGTGGTTAAACAGGTCATCTCGAGACGTCCACTTGAGTGGCAGCATTCATGGAAGTGGTCCCTGACCCCCCTCCACCCGTCAGACAAACCAGGACAGAATTCAGTGCCCCTCTATGCTTCCTAAATATCTTCTTTACACCTTTATTGCTGGTGTTCACTGAAGAGTTCGGTATTCTTCTGCTTATTTTATTTTATCTTTGATGGGGATGAGAGTGAAATATTATGGCAAACATCAGTGCTAAAAATTTAGAAGTTAAAAGAAGTGATGCTATTGTAAACAACAGTGCAGCCATCTCATATGTATCTTTGTGAGCGGATGCTCGGTCTCAGGTGGAGTTGCTGGTTAAAAGGTATGTATGTTTTTAAGGCTTTGCACCAGCTGTTCCTTCTGCCTGCAGTGTTTTTTGCTTTAGATTTTCCCAAGGCTTTCTCTTGTCATTCAGGTTTTAACTTAAATATTACTTGCTATCATATTACTCTGTTTTCTCTTCATGAGAGAACTCCTTGCTCCCTGATATTTTATTGATTGTCCAGTTTCCCATTAGAGGTGAGCTCCTTGACAGAGGTTAGAAAGTCATTGTTGGAAAAACAAGTGAATGAATGAATGAATGAGTGAGTGGTGAATAAGTGTTAAATGTACAAACCAAAAACAAGGCTGCAAAATGTTCACTATGGTTCTTTTTTTTTTCCTTTGCTGGAGGGGAGGTAATTAGGTTTATTTATTTACTTTTAACAGAGATACTGGGGATTGAACCCAGGACCTCGTGAACGCTAGGCACGCACTCTACCACTGAGCGACACCCTGCCCCTGCCCCACTCCTTGCTATGGTTACTTCTGTTCATAGGTAAGTTTATTTTATCCTTTATGCTTATCTGAATTTTTCAAATGTCTTACCACAAAAATGTATGCTTTTGTAATAAGAAAAAAAAACTGAAAAAAGTGTCCGTGGCTGAACCCACACAGTGGTTGGGAGAACACAGAAAAAAATATCAGATATCATACTTAAGTCTGGTTATGGAGAAAAGTAGTAACAGAGAATAATGTAGATTGTTTATCGGATATGACTAGTTTTTAATTGTGTTTTTAAATTGAGATGGCCTCACTTCGGTGATTCAGTGTTTTCTATCGATTGTACAAATAATGGCAGGGGAACTAACTTTAGACTTTATTATGGATCAAGTGTATGTAGCGATTCACAGCCAGTGTTTTGCTATTTAAATTGCAGAGATCATGCCTCACTTTTTAAAATCTACCGAAATTATTACTTTTTTTTAAAAGAGAGAGAGAAAGAGAAAGAAAGAAAGAAAAAGCAAGCAAGCAAGCAAAGAAAGAAAGAGGGAGGAAGGAGGGAGGGGGGAGGAAGGAAGGAAGGAAGAAAAGCCATTAGGATATACTAGCAAAACAGAAGTAAAAACATCTATAAAATACATTGTTCACCCTTGCTGACTTAATTTCCACCTTAAAGTGATATTTTGTTGGAAATGCTGGTTGGTTGTTTTCTACTTTGACTCAGACTCATTTCTGAGATCCTCTGAGGCCAGCTCCTCCTCCAAGGTGACATGCCACAACCAGGGCACAGTGACTCCTGAGCAACTGTTGCTTCCATTGGAGTCGGGCAGCTGGCTTGTGGTTTCATAGATTCCATAGACACGCACCAGCACAGAAGCATCTGATGCAATTTCAGGTGCTCAGGGCGCAGGGATGGCAAGGAAGCTGGATCCATAGGGATCACTGGGGAAGCCAGAACTTGAACTCAGGGCCTGATAAGCCCACAGAGCCAGATTTAGGAGAGTAAATAAGAATTCCTAGGGAAATCCAAATAGCACAGATTTAACTGGGATAAACTGATAGCCTGGACAGGTTAAAGAAGAGAATCAAAGCTGGCCAACAGCTGGACTAAAATAGCTCTTGCATTTATCTGCTGATGAATTACTGCACCCTGATTGATGTCATGGGACTCCGCTGCATTTAAGCCCCTGGAATATTTTAAGACCTGGATGTTCTCAATTATTTTAAAAGATCTTTTGGGTGTTGTTATAGATGATGTTTGTCTCCCCTCCAAATTCATATTCGAAGCCCTTACCCCCAGTGTGACTGTATTTGGAGGGTCTTCACAGAAGTAAATGAGGCCACAAAGGTAGGGCCTTGACCTGGTAGAATTAGTGTCCTTATAAGAAGGGGAAGAGAAACCAGAGCTCTCTCTCCCTGCGTGCGCACAGCAAGCACGGGTCACACGAGGTCACAGTGAGAAGGTAGCCATCTACGAGCCAGGGAGGGAGGCTTCACCAGGATCCAACCATACTGGCACCCTGATCTTGAACTTCCAGTCTCTAAAACTATGAGAAAATATCTTTCTGCGGTTGAAGTCACCCAGCCTGTGGTATTTTGCTATGGCAGCCCCAGGCAACTAACACAAAGTG